TCTGTTCCGGTTTCAGAATCATGATCGCTGTGGGTTTATAATCACTAGATCCTTATTTCCGTAAGGCGCAGTGTCATTCTGGAGTATACTTTCGGCTTCGCGGAGTGACACTTCTGAGGAGCAGCCTTATGCAACCTTTCAGGGCACCCTCCTGGAAGCTGGCAAGACTAGCATGGTGGCTTGTGATGCAGTTCCTCGTATTCAAACTGATTCTCCCTCACTGACGGAAGGGTCACTCATCTGGCTTGGAGATCTACACTTTTTTGTGCGTGGCTTACCTATTGCTGCTCTGGTATTGGTCTTATTGTATGATGTCTTACCAACCGGACCATGATTACCTTGTTTTCTATTCATGAGGATTCATTTCTATATATTATTGCCATTGTCGATCATGATCACTAACTCATGGAACATATGACCGAGGAAGGTATACTCCGAACGCACTCAAGGGATTATTATTCGGGAGAATGTACTTACGTATTCAGAGTTGTCCCCTCTTTTCCTATACCTGTATGATTTCAAATGTCAATCCGTTGGCTGGTAATCATTAGTTCTTGCCTTTCTTCAGCTAGTCTCTGCCTTCGATCATCAATATAATGTGATTATACGAACGGGTAAGGGGACGCGGAGCGCGGCCTGGTTCATTTGGTTTTCTTAAGATCAGGCGCATATGTCATTTTAACAGCCGTAAGTCCGAAACATATCTTAAAGAACAATCATAATAATGTAACAGAGTATTAAATAATTGTTCCCACTTATTATTGACATTAATTCCTACTATTTTCTATAAAGGATGAGTGGGGTGAGTACTGGGTGCTGATTGGTCATGGCTTACAAATGAGGGTCAAATCATTTCCTCCCGGATTCAAAGATTACAATTTCTTCCCCGCAGACTGGTGGATTAGGACCAGAAATACTATGCCATTGCCTAGCAAGACTCTCAGCGACGATCAATATTAAGGAGATAGGTATACAACAGTTCATGGTAAGAAATCTCTGCGATCCCCTCGAGAGGGGAAGTGATCCGTTCATGATGGCTTATGTGAGATAGTATCCGCATCCGTAGTCTTGTTACACTGCATATTGAACCCCCATTCATGTTTTACGCCAGTCGCCGCATACCTCTACTGCCAACACCGTCTCTCTCGTCCTTGAGGCTGCGCCCTTATCTGCCAGGCCGACTGTTGAACGCAGCTGCAACGCCCATCATGACCAATACCGAGCAGCAAAATGAGCCGCCGCTATCGGCGAAGGACTTCAAGTTATATAATCGAGCAGCAGAGCAAATGGAGTACTACGTAAGTTACTATCCCACTCGCAGGCAGGGAACGGTCTCATTCGTCATTAACCTTTTCCCCTCAAGCACGGACTTCTTCGTCTATCATGGAACATGCTCTGGGAGGCCTCGACTAGCGGCCGACTACCTCCGTATATGAAAGTGCGGCAATTCATCGCCGAAGGACTGCGCTTTGCTCAGCATCTGGAGATTCATCATAGTATTGAAGAGAACCATGTCTTCCCTCACTTGGCAAAGAAGATGCCCGAATTTCGCACGGGCCGGGGTCGCCAAGCTGCTGAACTCTTACGACAGCATCGGCAGATCCATAAGGGACTGGAAGAGTTCCAAAAGTATCTAGAGGAGTGTCAGGAGGGAAAGCAAGAATTAGAATTTGATGTTTTACGAGGAAAGATGGAGGGCTGGAGAGAGGTTCTATGGACGCATTTGGACCAGGAGGTGAAGACCTTGGGAGCAGAGAATATGAGAAGGTACTGGACGAAGGAGGAGATGCCGAGGATACCCATGTAAAATATCGATGATCTTATACAATATGATTTGGTCGATGTTCGATTCAAGAAAGGCTGGGTATAGAAAGAACCCTTTGCGATTCCGTTGTAGTCGCTGTACTCTTCGAAATTTTGCATTGAAGGCTGAATAAATCAGAACTAGGAGTAAGATTGCAGTGTCAAATTGTACTTTCAATCAGGTCAGACTTGGTACTAGTATGTTGCCTGAATTACTATTACCAATTGCTAACATTCTGTAGGAAAAAGTAGTACTGTTGTGCCCAGAACTTTGTGGCCACCCCCAGAGCCCGGCCAATATCTATATCACCAGGACTACCGTGTAGTAAAACTAAGTGATCAACACTAGTTCTAGTAACGACGACAATTTCAATGACCTTGGATCGTGAAATTATTGATTTTGTCTAGGTAATATGGTTAATTAATGGAACGACAGTTACATCGAGGAGAGTCATTGTCAGCCTGAAACGCAAGGCACTCAATGGGGTACCACGTGATGGTGCCCGATGATGACATAAGCCGCCACAAAAGATTCCCCCTCCCCCGCCGATCGCTGATAACCAAACATTCTGGTGCTGCCCATCTTTGACTCACGCGACTCACGCCGCTCGCTCTCTCCTGGCATTTAGCTTGAAGTAGCTTCGTCCGGGAATTGCTGCGGATAACCTCTTCTCGAGGCACCACCTACCCTTGAACGCCTACTTGTTGCGCTTGGAGAATCCCTCCGACAAAACGTCAAGATGGCGGACGCAATTGCGGAAGCCACTGCCAAGCTTCAGCTCGACGAGGAGACCGGTGAGATGGTCTCCAAGGGCGAGTTGAAGAAGCGCATGCAGAAGCGTGCCAAAAAGGCCGCCAAAGCCAACGCACCTCCGAAGCCTGCTGCGACCCCGAAGCCACAGGGCCCCGCGACGCCCAAGCCGGAGGAGGCCCCTATCGACCCGGACGCCATGTTCAAGCAGGGCTTCCTTGCCAATGTCTACAACGAGCGACCCGTTACTCCCTTGACCAGATTCCCTCCGGAGCCCAATGGATACCTGCACCTGGGTCACTCCAAGGCCATTGCGATCAACTTCGGCTTCGCGAGACACCACGGCGGAAAGACGATCTTGAGATTCGACGACACCAACCCCGAGGCCGAGGAGGAGAAATACTTCACCGCGATTGAGGATATCATTGAGTGGCTCGGTAAGGCAGATGTGAGCATAATCATGCGGATATGACTGACCGACCAAAAATAGGATTCAAGCCGCACGCCGTTACCCACTCGAGTGACCACTTTGATAAGCTGTACGAGCTTGCCGAGAAGATGATCAAGATTGGACGCGCATATGTCTGCCACTGCAGCGATGCTGAAATCAAGTTGCAGCGTGGTGGTGAGAAGAACGGCCCTAGGTTCCGCTGTAAGGATGCCGAGCAGGACGTGGAAACCAACTTGCAAAAATTCCGTGATATGCGCGACGGAAAGTACGCACCTCAGACGGCGTTCCTGCGCATGAAGCAGGAGCTTGAAAACCCCAATCCGCAGATGTACTCGGATCTGGCTGCCTACCGTGTCCTCAATGCGGAGCACCATCGTACTAAGGACCAGTGGAAGATCTACCCTACCTATGACTTTGCCCACTGCCTGTGCGATAGTTTCGAAGGTATTACCCACAGTCTTTGCACCACCGAATTCGTGCTGTCGCGTGAGAGTTACGAGTGGCTCAACAAGACCTTGGAAGTCTACGAGCCTATGCAGCGTGAATACAGCCGCATGGAGGTCAGCGGAACGGTCATGAGCAAGAGAAAGCTGAAGAAGCTTGTCGATGAAGGTTATGTGCGTGGTTGGGACGACCCCCGTCTGTACACCCTGATCGCGCTGCGTCGCCGTGGTGTTCCCCCGGAGGCCATCCTTTCCTTCATCAACGAATTGGGTGTGACTACCTCTAAGTCTGTTATCCAAATTGCTCGTTTCGAACAGTCTGTTCGTACCTACCTTGAGACCCGTGTTCCGCGTTTGATGCTGGTCCTTGACCCCGTTCCTGTTGTCATTGAGGACTTTGAATCCCTTGAGGCCCAGGAGCTTGACTTGGACGTGCCATTCTCGCCCAAGGACCCTAAGATGGGCTCCCACAAGCTTCCCTTCACCAAGACCGTCTACATTGACCGCTCCGACTTCCGCGAGGAGGATAGCAAGGGTTACTTCCGTCTTGCCCCCGGCAAGAGTGTCGGTCTGTGGAGGTCCCCCTATCCCCTCAAGGCCACGACCTTCACGAAGGATGCCGAAGGAAAGGTCACGGAGATCCGGGCCGTTCTGGACCGCTCCGGCGCAAAGCCCAAGACGTACATCCACTGGGTCCCGGACAACTCGCGCAAGGTGGAGGTTCGCATCCACGACCAGCTGTTCAAGTCGGATGACCCGAACTCTGTGGAGGGTGGCTTCCTGAAGGACATTAACCCCAACAGCGAGACCATCTACAACGACGCCCTGATTGAGGCCGGCTTTGATGAGGTGCGCCGCCGGGCTCCCTGGCCCGAGGCTGCGGGAGAGAAGACTAAGAGTGGACCGGAAAGTGTCCGGTTCCAGGCGATGCGTGTTGCTTACTTCGTGAGTATCCCTGACAACATTTCCTCATCATTTACTTTTTCCGCTTCAAGATCCATTGCTAACCGGTATGCCAGGCGGTCGATTCGGATTCTACGGATGACCGGGTTGTGCTGAACCGCATCGTTTCCCTGAAACAGGATGTGAGCAAGAGCAGCTAAGAGGTCTTTTGACGAATCAACGGGCTTAAATTTTACGCGTGATGGGATCAGATACCGGGCAGTGGGAAGGCGAAGAAGGAGTTAGAGGAGGCACAGGCCACTTTGCGGTCGGTAGGCTACATGGTGTGCCAGTTGCAGGAAACATAGATTTGGGTAACGAATGTCATGTGGCTGTGAATAGCGAGCATCATTGGCAGGCTTTGCACTGCAGTAATCAGCAAGAAGATTCTTCCGCCGGCTCTATCTTTACTGCTCCCACTACGGAGTACTCCAGTATAATCAGGTACAATAGGTATGATCTCCCGGTTTCTTCAGGGCCGTCGGCTCCGACCGACGTGACATCGGGGAGGTCTTGGCTGCATCGGATGTCTCAAACGTGGGTGTTTCGATGGATTGTCAGTGGCTGCCAGCATTCTTATCTTTATTAACCGCAATTTCCCACTGCCGCCCTCGACACGGGTGTCTGTTCACTACTTATCTATACTACTGCTATACACTGATGTAGAGATGTACCCTATCACGGAATGTTCAACCCCAATGATGGGAAACAGTCGCCTTATAAGAACCCTGCTTCCTCTTTAAAATGCTGGTATGCGCTTTCGAACAACAATTCGCTAACAGCTGCAGATCTCTTGCACACCATGCGCATGATCTCCTCGCTGTGTGCGGCAGCACTGCTTCTCCAGAGTGCGCTGACCGTAACCATCCCCGAGATCAATGGCGACCGATACGTTTCTTCCTACAAAGGAAAAAGTGTCTCCGGTGTCACGGGCCTTGTCACAGCTAAAGGTTCCAGCGGGTTCTACATTCGCGCCACGGATGCCGATTCAGACTCCCGGACCTCCAACTCTATCTATGTGTATGGTAGCAGTGGAGTGTCGAAAGTCACGGTCGGCGACATTGTCACCCTGAGTGGAAAGGTCGCAGATTACCGATCCTCGTCCAGCTACGTCTATACCACTGAGATCGAGTCTCCATCCGACATCGAGGTGCTGTCCAGCGATAACACCGTCACTCCCATCGTCATCGGAAAGGATGACTTGGATCCTCCTACTGAGCAGTACTCTTCCCTGGACAATGGCGATGTCTTCAGCCTACCCGGCGGTTCTAGTCGGCTTTCCACTAAGAATCCTGTTTTGGACCCAACTGAGTATGGCATGGACTTCTGGCAGAGCCTGAGTGGTGAACTCGCTACTTTGACCGGACTCACAGCCATCAGCAAGGCCAATTCATATGGCGATACTTGGGTAATTGGGGACTGGCCGGTGACGGGCAAGAATGACCGGGGCGGGCTGACCATGCATGCAAATGGTTTGATTGCCTGACTCCGTTATCGTATCGACTAGTTACTGACTTGCTGTTTAACTGTAGATTCCAACCCGGAATCCATCGTCATTGGCTCTCCGTTGGATGGGACCAAGAATCCAACTGATACCAAACTGGGAGACACCCTCGAGGACATAACCGGAATCATCACACAAGCATATGGCTTCTACGCGTTGCTACCCCTGACTGCCTTGAAGAAGACCGGGTCCAACACCACGGAGGCCACGGCAACGACCCTCAAAGCGGACGGAACCTGCAGCTCCATCACTGTCGGAGATTACAATGTGGATAATTTCTCTCCGGACTCGACCACCATGAGTGGGATTGGAGGGCATATCGCCAAGTATCTGAACAGTCCGACCGTCCTGTTTCTACAAGAGATCCAGGACAACAGCGGTGCAACTGATGATGGCGGTAAGCTCAACCCTCTCCACAAATACATGATAAGATCATGTCACTGACATTCATGACACCAGTCGTCTCCGCCAGCCTGACACTGTCCAAGCTCGCTAGTGCGATCGAAGAGCACGGCGGAGTCGCGTACAACTACACTGACATCGACCCGGAGAATGACACGAGCGGCGGAGAACGCGGCGGTAATATCCGACCAGCGTACCTCTATGACCCATCGGTGGTACGACTGCGAAACTACAATCCCGGATCCAGCAATGACTCCACCTCCGTCCTCTCCGACGGCAGCCTAAGTTACAACCCAGGTCTGATTGATCCCTCCAACGAGGCCTGGGATGACAGTCGCAAGCCATTGGTAGCCCAATGGGAGACTCTGGATGGCAAGAACACTTTCTACACAATTAACGTGCACTTCACCTCCAAATATGACAGCACTTCGCTGGAGGGCGATCCGCGACCCCCCGTCAACGGATGGGTGGAGAACCGCGTGGACCAGGCTAAAGTGGTTGCTGTGAGTACCTTTTTTGCGCTAACGATTACTCTGATCTTGGTTGTGTTTGTCTGGAACCGAACAGATTCTAACCGTGGATGGCGTAGAAATTTGTTACCTCCATACTGGAGGTCAATTCCGATGCGAAAATTATCACCGCTGGTGACTTTAACGAGTATGCGTCTGTCGAGCCTCTGGAGGTGTTTGTCTCCGAGTCCAAGCTGCAGGACCTGGAGGACGTTACTGGCATTCCTGCGACTGAGAGGTATACCTATCTGTATAATCAGAACTGCGAATCATTAGACCACATGTATGTGAGTTCCGCGTTGACGTCTGGGGCCAGAATGGAGCACATTCATGTCAACACGTGGGTGTCGACAGACGATGAGTTATCGGATCACGATCCTACCGTGGCTCTGTTCAACATGTGCGAGTAAGCACCGCCAGCTGTTTCTCTTTCCATATGCTTCGAACCTTCTATTCAGAGGCAAGCAGTCGCAAGCCCATGCTTGAATGAGAAGGGTCCGCAACCCCGATCTGATCGAGCTAAGACACATGGCAGCACAATAAAATCTTTTATCAGTGGAGCTACAACCCCCATCGGACAAGAAATACTTTAATAATTGAGTTTTTCTTGTCTCCAAATATTGATTAATCTCGTATTGCCGCGTAGCGATGTTTTCCTGGCATGGTTCGTTTCATTTTTATTGCTTCATCTGTGCGGCTCGACCCACTGCCGCATCCGGAGTTCATGACTCAGGCACACTGTTCATGCCTGAGGCAGGAAGCAGAGACACAGCGAATGTATTCACGTTATGTGAAAAGCTAGTTATACTATGCATTAGGAGACTCATGTGGAATTCTGCGGGGGACTTGTTGTCTTACTTGTACCTCTGGACGAGCTGCATTGATGGAAAACACGATGGGCTAGACACTGCAAACATCTCAGTAGCAGCCCCTTCCCACCCCCCTTCCTGACAATTTCCTCAAGACCCTGGTCTACATCTCAGCAACCCTTCGTGATCTTATAAGTAACCGTGCAGCATGGTATCCTCAGCGCACTACTAACAGGACTAGTTAGGTGGCTGGCTGTAGCGTCGTCTCTGCTCATCCAGTGAGGTCCCCAACCCCAAAGGCCTGAGCGCCAGGGCAAGTGGACCACCGTTCAAGGTAAACAGACAACAAACAGCAATACGTCCGAACCAAAGCCGACACACAAACAAGAACTAACACAAGAATCACCAAATTTCAGCGGCAGCGACCAGTCAGTGGCCACGTTCAGTGGCGGATCACACGTGGTTCAGCTGAAAAATTCGGCCGTCGCGAGGACCCACTGGTAGTAGGCTTCTCTCTCTTTCCGAGTCTCCAAGAGTCCAAAGTCTCAACTGTGGACACCCTGATCGCTAATCTAAGATCTCATCTACTTCCCAACGGGCGCACAAGCACAGTTCGCCTCCCTCCCCTCACAGCATCATCTGTTTTACGGTTCTTATCCTGCGCAAGTGGGCCTCAAGCTTTCCGTGCTGTGCCGTTTCATCCAGTCAGACCTGATTCCATCGGTGTCTCATCCATGGGTGTTCCAGGAACCCTAACGCCCATGAGCGGCGTCGCTGAAATCGTCGGCAGTTGAGCCTAACCATTCTTTCGCCAGTTTGGTACGTCAAGTTCGCTTATGGCAACTCTTATTTCATAATATCGTTTTCCCATTCCATCGGAATCCCGCAGATGTTACGCTGTCGCTGCTGCTGCTGTCACCTCTCGCCTGCTGGCCAGCTCGCATCACCATCATGGCCGTGGATCGGTCATTAGAAGTACGAGCAGTAGCTGCTGTCTTCTTTGCATTGGCGTCTGTGACGACGATTCTACGATGCTATGTCCGCCTGGCAGTTGTCAAGGCGTTTGGGTGGGATGATGGAGTTATGGTTCTGGCATTGGTGAGCTACCTTCCTCCAAAAGTCCAATGGCATATACTGACGTCGGGAATAGCTCTTCTACGCCATGTTCTCAGGCTGCATGATCGGAGGCAGTCTATACGGTACAGGGAAACACTTGACCGAGTTAACCAATCACCAGCGGACGACCGCAATGGAGGTAAACACTGCAACCTCACAGCACTATTCCCCCACCCTCACCACTAATCAATATAATCAACAGTACTGGTTCTACTGCGACATCGGCTACGCCCTTGCTTCCATCCTGTGCAAGATATCCGTCAGCATCTTCATCCTGCGCGTGACCATCGACCGAACCCACCGGATAACCGTCTGCCTCGTCGGAGGAATTGTCGTCATCGCCGGTCTCATCTTCTTCATTATGGTCCTCGTGCAATGCCACCCCATGTCGTACTTCTGGAACCAATTATCCACCGCATACAAAGGTTCCGGATCTTGCATGAACATGCACATCATTGTGGGCGGATTATACGCCTTTAGCGCCTCCTCTGCGCTTTTCGACCTCACTATCGCTATTCTTCCGATCCTGCTAGTCCGAAAACTCAACATGAAGCGTGATGTTAAATTTGCTGTCGCTGGACTGTTGGGTATGGCTTGCGTGTATGTACTATACCCTTTAGTACCCTCCACTCATTCCCACATACTAATCGCAATGGAATGAACAGTGCCTCCATCGCCGTCTTCATCCGCATCCCCTACATCCACACCCTCTACAGCGTCGACTACCTCTGTACGCCTGTCCCCATCCTATCCTCCCCACATATCCCCAAAAACTAACAAAGAATCATAGGGGCAACAACCCCCATAGCAATCTGGTCCAACATCGAAACTGGCCTGGGCATCTTCGCCGGTAGCATGGCAACCCTCCGACCAATCCTCCGGAAATTCAATCCCTCGACCCGTGGCCATGAATACACCTCCGATCCGTGGCCGAGCACCCGCAACAAGCAACGTAACTTCTCCGTCCCGCTCCGCTCCCTCGACACCAGCACTACGCGAACACCACCTTCTGAATTCGACGATCGCATGGCGATACAAGGCCACGATGAGCGGTTATATGGGACGACGATGTATAGTGTTGAGACGGGGGAGAGGGTGGATGCGGATGTGGATGTGGTTGACGGTGGGGAGAGTGGGCATGGGCATGGTGGCAGGGTCGATGAGTATCCGATATTGCCTAAGAATGGGGCTACGGTTAACGGTGGTGGAAATGGGATCGGGATGAAGTTTCCCGGGATTATCAGTGTTAGGAGGGAGGTGTTGGTCACGACTTCTGCTTAGAGAAATTTTTTTCCTTCTTGTGGTTTTTGTTCTCGTTCTTGGTTTTTGGATGGGTTGGGTTGGCATCGGTGGAGTTGGGTATATACCATTTAATTTTCATCATTCTTTCTATAGAATATATATTTCACATCAATATTGGGATGGTAGTAGACCTATAGATTGTTATATGATGTGCATGTTTATCATAAGTGTGCTGTATCTTGTGTTGTAGCATAGATCGGCAACGGCGATACTTTCTTTGTATGTAGGAGCCGAGCGATCGTCCCCAAGGGTCTGTCTGATTTTTGGCTGATCTGCAACGGGTCGCAGGGCTCGGTTGAAACTCTAATAATGGTCGGTCGGCCGGAGGGGAAGGCTTCGCATTGCACGCTACAATAGTCATTGAGTTTGGGATGATCCGTACCGAGGTAGTAGATCATTCGTTGGAAGAAGTGATGAATGTGTGCATGTGGTTGGTGGATAAGAAGTATTTATGCTGTGGTGGGTATCGCGCATAGAACACATTGTTTAGGTGACGCACAGGTACTAACGAGCTATGCTTAGTTAGGGCTTATTATATGTGAATCGGAAGCATTACTCTTTAGTAGTAGTAGTAGTAGTAGTAGTAGTAGTAGTAGTAGTAGTAGTAAAAGAAGAAGAAGAAGTGTTGGCACCATATCTAATCTATTGTATTGATTTAATCTATCAATGGACCGGCCGTCTCAATACTTTTATATTATAGTGATATCACGTAGTCAAAAAGCCCTGCAATCTCAACAAAAGCATAACCTGAGGAAACAGACAACTTCCGACATATTATTTTTTTCGATTCCTTTTTGTGCAGCGTCGTGAATCTGACCTGATTGACCTGGGTGACGCTTCAGGTCTTTGTCAAGGGTATCCTCACGCGATCCTGCCATAGACTCCAAGTTGTATGGGTCGGGGCTGCCGCACGGCATAGCAGCAGAGCAGCACTCAAGACCTGCCCCAGACAGAAAACAGAAAAACCCAGACGGCGAGTACCGTCAACAGTATCCTTCTCACCAGAACTCCAGCAAAATACCGCTCCTCCACCAAAGAGATCTATTGCTTCCGGCCAATGCTCCGCTGACCCTGCACAACTGCCTTGGAGACCTCATCCAGGCAGCCCGCAGCGGCGGCAAAGAAACCGAGGAAAGCCCGGCTGGGGCTCAAGACCCGACTGAGATACTCGGGGTGGAACTGGACACCGACAAACCAGGGGTGGTCCTTGATCTCGATGATCTCCATACGCTCGCCCTTGGTGTCCTTTCCGATGAAAGAGAGACCGGCCTTCTCAATCTGCTCGATCATGTCGGGGTTGACTTCGTAACGATGACGGTGGCGCTCCTCAATCTGCGAGACGGAAGGTCCGTAAAGACCACGCAGACGAGACCACTCGGTGTTCTCCTGGAAGACACAGGGGTGTCTGCCAAGACGCATGGTACCACCAAGCTTGCCCTTGTCAACCTCGGGCATGTAGACAATGGCGTGATTCTCGGCCTTGGGGTGCAGCTCCTCACTGCCGACATCCTTGATGTTGGCGACGTTGCGGCAGAACTCCAACACGGCCAGCTGCATACCCAGGCAGACACCCAGGAAGGGCTTGTTGTTGGTACGCGCCCATGTGATGGCCTTCATCATACCTTCAGTACCTCTGTTACCGAAACCGCCGGGCACCAGGACACCATCGGCCGTGCAAACCGCGTGCCAGGCCTTGTGGTAGTCGGCGGGGGAGGCAGTGTCATCCTCCAGATGCGACGAGTCGACCCAGATGATCTGAACCTTCTTATGACAGTACATGGCCGCGTGCTCCAGAGCCTTAGAGACACTGATGTAGGCGTCGTGAAGAGAAGTGTATTTGCCAACCAGGGCAATGGAGACGGAATCGTGGAGGAAGTCCTGACCACGAGCAAGGTCGCACCAGTCGTTCCACATGCGGCTGCCCTGCTCCTTGCGCTCAGGGGTCTGGGGGATCGACTTCAAGTCGAGCATATCGGTGATGGTGCTGATCAGCTTCTGCTTCTCGAGAAGCATGGGCACGTGGTATGTCGTCGTGACGTTGTGGACGGCAATAACCTGGTGCTGCTCGACGGAGCACATGTTGGCGATCTTGTTGATGGTGCTATCCTCCAGAGGTTGCTCGCAGCGACAAGCAATCAGGTCGGGGTTGAGACCAGCACTCCGCACATCGCTGATTGCCCTCTGCGTGGGTTTCGTCTTCTGCTCGCCACCAGGTCCCGGCGGGATGACAGGCACGTAGGAAACGTGGATCTGGACAAAGTTGCCCTTGCCGGCCTTTCTCTGGAGCTGGCTCAGAGCGTGGATGAAGGGCGCACTCTCAATGTCACCGACGGTACCACCCAACTCGATGATGCAGACATCCGGTTCGGCCTTGGATTCGTCGACGGGAATCTTGGCTACCCGCTGAATCCACTCCTGAATGGCATCGGTGACGTGGGGCACGACCTGGACGGTCTTACCGAGATAGTGGCCGATGCGCTCGCGGTTGATGACGTGCTGGTAGACCTTTCCGGTGGTGATGTTGTGATCGCGGGAGAGAGAGGAGAGGAGGTAGCGCTCGTAGTTGCCAAGGTCGAGGTCCATTTCACCACCGTCGTCTGTGACATAGACCTCACCGTGCCTAGCATAGTGGGGGTGATGTCAATAAGGTGTATCACCGAGAAGCCGAAAGCCACGCAGATACTGACTCAGTAGGTGCCATTGTGCCCGCATCGATGTTGATGTAAGGGTCGATCTTGATAGAGGTGACGGCCAGACCGGTGGTCTTGAGCAGGAGACCGGTGCTGGAGGCAATAATGCCCTTGCCCACGCCGGAGATGACACCTGAAGGACGGGCGGGTTTGTTAGCAAGAGGGCACGAGGCGAGGGACCCTGGCAACTCCGCTGGTTTCCAGCCGAGCCGAGCAATTGAGCTTACCTCCGGAAACCAGAACGTATTTCATCTTTGCAGCGACCGACGGAGACGGAGTGGTGACAAGGGGACGTGAGCGATACCGCGGAGCAAAGAGTCAAAGAATGAGGCGAAAAAAAGTTCGATTTGTGACCCTCCCGAAGCGGTGGGCCTGGTTGGTCAGGTGACTTTCTTATCTTATCGGGTTATCTTATCGGCCTCACAGTAACAATTGAGGAGACAAAAGTCAAGCACCAATTGTCATGAGTAGCTTCAATTGATTCGCATGGTAAAGGCTTTTATTTAGCAACTTCATGTTGTTGTGCCCTTCCCATCTGAGTCATTCCATCCCCATCTGTATTCATCTGTATTTCAAAATCTGCTCTGATTGGCACCCGTGTGACGCCAAGCCCAGTCAAACGGTTACATTCGGGACTTCTGCCTGATGATGCTAGGCAGCACACCTCTTGTATCATGAATGATATTGCTTCACTTGTGTATCATTTTATTAAAGTTGCCAGGATAAAGGATCCGATCTTCGAGTTCCAGTGTAAGGAGAACAGTTAGTACCTACTAATACATAGTTACAATCATTTCGTCCTGATCCAGAACCAAGATATATTTTCCCATGGGGTAAAGTGGTCCTACTCCTCTGTTACCTCTACCACTACTAAAATAAGCAAATACCATTAAACAGTTCAAATTTCATGAAGCTAAGTTAGTTATCAATTATTGGGCAAGATTTGATTTCAAACTTCTTATTGATTTTATTTCACATATAATCTACTCTGTCAACATCTTAACCTCATCCACATAATGGTATAACACAGGAGAGCAGAAACGCACAATTGGATAATGAAAAATGGATAAAGAAATATATATATATATTATAGATATTTCTCGTCTGTAAGAAAACAAAGAGCTTGACTTATGCTTCCAAATCATTCGCTTATATCAAGCCTAAATCATAGCCTTTTCGCCCCCAACAAACCTCGTTATGGCAACAAAGAAAGGCATACATATCTCTGGAGTCCATCTAACATATTCACCCAATCATTCCAGAGGCTCCATAAACCTCTAATTCTGTTTGTTCCTAGTTGGACGGAATAAGAGGCTTAGTGTAAACACTAACAGTTAGTAACCAACGCAGCATTGCCGCCGATCAATCATTTTTGCTTGTCTAGCACTAAACCTTCCGACCGACACAGCCTCACGCTCTTATAACTAGCTTGCAACACCCTTTTCCCAATAGAATTATACTTTGTAGCAATCAATTCCCCGAGCATAAAAATTCCTTACAATTAATTGTCATTTGACCCGAATATACGCGCCGCAGACTCGAATCCATAGGGATTGTGCAACCGTCAATATGGGTCAAAAAGCTTCAACTCCTCAATCAGGGGCCAGATTACAAGTCATCGGTGCAGGTCTCTCTCGCACCGGTACGGCGTCCTTCAGCGCCGCCTTGAACATTCTTCTCGACGGACCTGTCTACCATGGTGGTACGCAGATAACAATGGGTCCGTCAACCGAGGTCAAATCATGGATTACTATTCTACGCGACTGGCTATCAGGCACAAATCACAAAAAGGTTCTTGCCATGATGAAAGACCGCACAGATGGCTATGTTGCTATAACCGACGCTCCTGGCTCTCAGTTCGTGCCAGAGCTCCTAGAGATTTATCCCGACAGCAAGGTCATCTGTACGGTTCGCGATCCTGATGCATGGGTTAAGAGCATGGCCCAAATTGAGGGATTGGCTACATTGTGGTTTCTACGCGCTGTTCTTCTCCCACTTCCTGGGATGCGGCACTTTGTTGAATATATCTCGGTCTTGCAAGCGCAGTGGGATAAGGTGTATGACAATGAGCGTGCGTTTGGTATCATATGGCATCGACACATTGCCTGGTTGAAGGAGATAGTTCCCGAGGATCGTCTGGTGTTCTACGATGTCCGGGAAGGATGGGAGCCTCTTTGCAAGGCACTGGGGAAGGATATACCTGATGTTCCGTTCCCACGGATCAACGACTCCAAAGCTATTGATCAGGTTGCGCAGTATCATATTAAGCGTGGGCTAATGAGATGGGCGGCGGCCTTTACATTGGTCGGGGCTGCTACTGTCTGGTTTATGCGCGGCTGAAAAAGACCCCAAAAATGA